TAAGAAAATTAAAGAAATTTTCAATGGGGAAGAAGCATTGAGAGGTCATATATCCTGAGTGATCCAGATGAAAAGGACAAAAGATGCCTAATGTCCGAATTATTTCAGGAGAGCAATAACATTTTCTCTCCTTTCATAAGGCAAGGTGATAGGAGAAAGATTGATTCCTCAGTAGTGAAATAGCTTAACAATATTTTTAGTTATGAATAAGGCAAAAAATTTACAGGTTTTAAAAATGGCGAAAAGTTGCATTTTTTCCCTTGCAATTAAAAGCAGAAACAGTTTTCTTTTTCAAATTTAGAAAAAGTAGTGTCCAGTTTGAAGAGATAGAAAATAACGCTTCAGGGCCAAAATGAGTGTTCGCTTTGCGGAGAATGTACATAATGGTTTATTCATAGGAATACGAACAAAAATATATTTGTTGTCATTTTTCTGCGGACAATTTTCATAAAAAATCTGTATAGGTTTTAAATACTTTTAAGTTTTACAATTGATAATCTTAACAATTTGATATCTGTTGCACAGTAATTGTTTAATACATTGGTGCACATTTAAGTTATTGTAGATAGAATTTTTTAATATACAATTGAATATTTTTAAAAAATCTACTCCTTATTTTAATTTGTAATTTAATACTTTCGTTTTGTACAACTTGATAAAAATCTGACAGTAATATATTATGTTCCTTTAAACATAAAAGAGTCCTATATAAATTTTGATAAAATTACGGCCTGCCATTTGACTGGTGTTGCTAATTGCAGCCTCATGTAAGTCGGAAAGCCCTAATTTAGAAGTATTGGTGATTAAAAGACTAACACTCGAAAATATTTTTCAGCTGTCCGGAGTAAGTTTGCATCTCTGTTATTGTTCACATTCCGTCAACCATCCATAAACACGTGGTTTTAGATAGCCTTAAAAATATTTTTCTGGCGAAGTAGTCCATTTATGCTACCGCGATCACGTTGAAAATTCAGATAATTTTTATTCTTAATTTCATTCATTATTTCAGGCAATTTTTATTCGTTTTTCATTTGTTTATTTTTTAATAAGGAAACTATTTGCTGGTAGAGGGGTCGTAACATTGTAAGATTCTATCGTTTTAGGCACAAAAGCAAGAAAATAGGAACTTAAAAGTTATAGATTGAAAATGAAGATTACAACAATAAGTTTTCTTAACTATAGCCACATACCGATCAATAAATAAATTGAAACTAAAAAAAGTCTAATTTTATTGTTTATGTGTTATCTCATTCAATCACTACATTACCAGCAATAGAATATCTCTATCACACTATTAATCCAAAAGAAAAATGTGGCTCTACTAATGATAAGGGTGCGTTCTGTGCACCTAACGTCATACAAGTTTCAGACTGAATGCCTTTTGTGGGAGTTTAGTCTTAGTGAATATGTTAGAGTAAATACTTTATGTAATAGTTATAACACAAATTAGAAAATAATTAGGAATTAATCTGTAAAACAATATTGTTCACTCAACATTGAAGTTTGAAAATTTAGACATGCTGAAACTATCTCTTCAAGGCAAAATATAAAAAATAAGATAAAAATGCAACAAAAAAAAGGACAGCATTGAAAAAGGTAAATAAAATAAAATAGAAGAAAAAAATACTAAGTATTTCCATTCATTCTTTTTTTCTCTGTAATCTTTTTTACCGTGTTTTTATTTTTATTTCTTTCCTTGGTTTCTTTGCTTTTTTCATGTTCGATATACTTGCAACTTATAAAACTTAATAAATAAGTGCTTTATTTTTCGTTGACAGAAATCTAATGGAAACTTGGTTTCGAATAAATTGGCTGGAATTTAAGTATGTTGCAGTAACTCCATGCTGAATGAAAGTTTTCACTTAAAATAGCATTGGAGGATGGATCTTGAACCACCTGAAAAAGTGGGCGTAACTTTCTCCATGTGATGGGATTTAATTAGAAAATGTAACCAAAATTCTTTTACAGTAAATTAAAACATACCACTACGTTCTAAACTTAAAATTCATTACAATTAACTGATTTCTCTCTCAGTTTGTCATCTAGTAGGTTCATTTCTTGACCTGCAGAGATAAATGATGATAACGGGTGATGTCACGTGGTACGCAACGACCATGTGGCATTTTTATCTGATTATCTCAAAGATGACCAACAAGTTGAAAAAAAATCTCATTTAATCACATACCATCCTAAATACGAAGTACTCTTTAATAAGGCTCACAAGTTTGGTTCTTGTTTTTACAAGCATATTTCTTTCTAAGAAACCATTCCCTAAAAAAATGCGTGCAAGTTAAACAACACATATAAATTCTACTAAAAATGAATACATTTAGCACTGCCAGATTAGTCAGATGAAAAGATATAATGCTGCTTTTAGGAGAACTCCTCCAGACATCAGTCTTGCTTCTTGGCTGGTACTATAGTTACGAGAAATAAACACTTCGAATAGAGGTGTGGGATGAATAGTTTTCTTGGCATAGGTCAGCGTAAGTAAATCAATGGACGCCTTCATTCCTCCATTGCATAAATGAAGATTGTGGGACTAAGTAACAAATCGCAAGATTTTTTTCTTGACAGTTTCAACACCTTTGTGATCGGTGACTTCAATTCCGGGGTTGTAACCAGACCCGTCGTCAACGGGGGGGGGGGGNTTTTTTTTTTTTTTTTTTTTTTTTTTTTTTTTTTTTTTTTTTTTTTTTACAAGCCAAAATCCCGACTTAGCCGAAATTCTTCCATTGTCGGATATTTCATGGGTGATGAGACTTAAACGGATTTCAATGTTATCTGAGTTTCGTCCATTTCGGGATCCCAGACCCAACTCGGCAAATCTTGTTGTGAAATGTGTTTTTAAATTTAGTTTCTTTTTTCTCCTTTAGAGTAGCCATTTATGATAATTCATAACAAGATGACCGATATTACAAGCCAAAATCTCAAAAACCATTTCTCTTGTATTATTTCAGCAACACATTCTTAAATTTAAAAAAAATTTAGTGACCTTAATTTTTAGTTAGGTAATAATGTATCATAAAATTCAGATATTAATTCTCTGAATTATGTTAACTCTTCATTAGAAGTTTAAGTAATTTATTAGAGTCTTTTTTAAAGAATTAATAAATTTTAAATGAAATTATTGTGCCGGTGCTGCAACTTTTTTTTCTTCTTTCACTTTCAAAATATTGGGGAAAAATTACAAATAAGAGTACCTATTAAGTAGGATACTTTATTATTCAAAATATCTTATTTAAATTGCTAAATTCTGCTTAAATAACACAAATTATTAAATAATTTATATTTTCAATGACTAAAAGTTATTTTTCTACTTTGAAGAATTTTACTAACTCTAAAGGACTTTAAACATTAAGAAAAAAAACACATTTAATTTGTTAACTACTCTTCAGTTCATAACTTTTAAAATTCTATGATGATTGGATTATTATTTGAGTTAAAAATTTCTTAACCTAAAATAAATTGTTCAGGGACCAATTCATATCTTTAGAACAATTAATCATCAAAACAGAATTTGATATTCTGTATGGAAAATAGTAAACATATATGTGATCCTCAATTCACCTTTATAAAAGTTTCTGTTTTGAAAATAAAATATTATATTCTGCTTTTAATATTTTTTTCAAGAATCCTAAGAATTCTGAAACATTAAATTAAGTTGCACTCAATCGAATCGACACTTCTATCATTTCACACAATTTGTGGATGGTTGCCGAGTTCAAAGTATTAAATGTTGTAATTTTGGATTCATTAATTATTTCAATAAAAATACGGTAAAAATACAGGAATTCTAAGTATTCACGGAAAAGTGGTTATTCTCTTTGATCAAGCCGTTACCGGTACTGTGAAAAGGCCTCAAAAAAAGGGTGGTGATGCGACTCCGATCTTGTGAAGCAGCAGACAAAACCCCGGATATTTCTGTCAACTTGAAAAATCGAGGGTCTTTTAAAAGTGGTTAGCTAGAAATGCCCTAAGCTATATTTTCTCTTACTCTTTCTAAGAATAAAGACAATATCTTTGTTCATGTTGTTAAAAAGGGGAGGGAAGGGGCTCAATGTACATGCAGCTGTGGTCCCAATCACTTCACTGACCTGTCTTTAACTGTCTAGTACGGGTATTTAGTTACTCAAAGCGTTTTTATAAATTCATATTATTATTGAATAAAATAGAAAATCTGCTCACAAGTCAACGATCATCCAATCCACTGCAGCTTGAGTTTTGAATATAAGTATAATTTTTTTATGAATACATATTTATTATTCGCAGTCTTATTGTTTAAATATTAAATTTAATTAAATTGCATTAAATGTGTTATTATTTTCCAATTAAATTATTGCTTAAAAATTAAGGTATGAGACTTTCTCAAAAAAGAGTTTTTTTTTTAAATATATATATATGGGTAAATATTGATTTTTATGAAGCAGGTAAAATTATTCTTTTTAATCTCTTTTGTGCAGTAAAATGATAAAAAAAAAAGAAAAAATAGCAATTAAAAATGTTATGTTATTTATATTCATTAGTAGGAGCTAGGGATAGAAAAAGATAAACCACATGTGAATTCCTCAAATTGGAATTCTTTTTCCGTTTTTCACTTTTTACTAAGCTTTTTATTTTGTGTTTGAAATATTTTTTTTAAAGATTTTTTTAGTTGAAATTATTTTTCATAGATCTTATTTAATTGAAATATCGAATATCAAGTTCTATATTTGCTCGTAGGCTTTGTTTTTATAAGTCCAAACTGCAATCCTGTATGAAGAAAAATGTACTAATGTTAATTTTATTGAAAATGTAATGTGCTTAAAAATAGAAAAGTTTAAGTTTTTTTCGATGAATAATTCTTTTTAGCAATTTTGTTGTATTTCTTATGTATTTAATGTTTTTATATTATCTTTAATCTTTTTTACTAAAGTTAACAGTTTTTCATTTGTTTAAGTTAATTATTAGGTACGTTATTATTTCGTTAATTAAAAAAAAACTTAATAATTTTGTAATTATGTAAAAATTCAATCCACAGTTTCGCATTAAAAATGCAAAATAATCATTTTAGCATAAATGCTTTCATAAGTTTTTATTGTTAAATCTATTAGCGTTAACTGCACCAATGACTGCACAATGAATTGATTAAAAACTATCTTCGAACAACAATGACCACTGAATGCCTAAATTCACTGCTTTTACTCCAAGAAGAAAAAGATATTGTTAACAATATTAAGCTTGATAAGTTGGCAGAATATTCTTCACTTTTAAAACAACGTCGAAGTAAATTTATGTAGGTAACGTAATTTTATAAATATCTTAATTTTTTATCATTTTTATGTGAATTTCTTCATTTGTAATTTAAATGGCAAATATTTTCAATGTTTTTCTACATTATTTTTCTTATTTTTTTAAAAATGAAAGGACAATTTACTTTTGAATGAATATCTTATAGAAGACTGTATTTGCTGATTATGACTTACTTTCTTATCTTCAAACAATTGCTCTAATTAGCTTATGGTAACACCGTTTAGATAAAACGAAAGATAAATTTTAATTACTAAGTGATTTTTAAAAAAATATTTAAATATAATGTCAAAAGTATTTCAAAGTTGCATTGAAAAACATTTAAATTTACAACTTTATTTTTTAAAATTATTTCCACAAATAATTATTGCTTAATATTACTGAAAACTTATTTTAATTGAATAAGTTTCAGTTTATTTAAAAATAGTTTTTTTTCTTTAATATTTTGTTACCATTTTAATAATTAAAATTAATAGAAATGTAAAAAGTATATTTTCTTTGCATTATTTTGAATAATTGC